ATTCGATGCTAGGTGGGCAAGTAGTATTTGGAGAGCTAGGGGGGTTAGCTGGGCTACTGCACCTTCATGGGGATCTGTTGGGGGAATAATAACTTAATGGAAGAGTGAGGTGTGTATAGCAATGGAGGGATTAATAGGTTAATTCTCAGTTTCGTTGAAATTTAAGCAGGTGGAGGATGGCTTTGAATGGGTGTTAACAAATGTCTTTGGACCTAATTATTATAGAGAGAGGAGGAATCTATGGGAAGAATTGGGGGATGTAAGGGGATTATGGGATGGACCATGGTGCTTAGTAGGCGATTTCAATGTAATTAGGTTTTCGGAAGAAACAAATAAGCCTAGACAGAGGGTGACCACGAGCATGAGGAAGTTTAATCAATTTGTGGAAAGCTTTGAACTTAAAGAGATTTCATTGGCCCGTAGTAGTTACACTTGGTCCAACTTACAAGTGAATCCCATTTGCTCTAAGTTAGATACGTTTCTTTTTTCGGTGGATTGGGAGGAACATTGGGGTAGGTTGGCCTCTAGAGCACTTCCAAGAGTAACTTTAGACCATTGGCCCATCATGATTGGTGTGGAAGAGATGGGAAGCACAGGGCTTGCCCCGTTCAGATTTGAGAATATGTGTCTACTTCACCTGGTTTTTATTAATAAAATCAAGGAGTGGTGGTTAGAGAGTGACTCGGTAGTAGAATGGAAAGGAATGAGGTTCAATAAGAAATTACAACTATTGAAGGGTAAAACCAAGGAATGGAACAATTAGAATTTGGGAGGTTGGAAGAAAGAAAGCAAATGGTAATTGATCAATTGGAAGAGTTGGACGGGAAGGAGGGGAGGAGGGATTTAACACAGGAGGACAAAGAACAGAGGTGGAATTTGCGGAAACAACTGGAGGATGAATTGTTTAAGGAGGAAATCACATGGAAATAGAAGTCAAGGTGTAGGTGGTTGAAGGAGGGAGATAGGAATACAAAATTTTTTCACTATTTGGCAAGTGGGAGAAGAAGGAAGAATTTTATTTCAAACTTGGAAATAGAGGGGATAACCTTATCTGATCAGGGGGAGATTGCTATGGAGTTTGCTAACCACTTTTTGTCTATATACAGGAAACCCTTAAGTAATAGGGTATGGATTGAGGGGACGGAATGGCCAAGGTTGAGATCAGAAGATAGGGAGTGGTTAGAGAGAAAATTTGAGGTGGAGGAGGTTGAGGAGGCAGTATTCTCCATGGATAGATCAAAGGCTCCGGGCCCAGATGGTTTTACGGTGGCATTATACCAGGATTGTTAGGAGGTTTTGAGGGAAGAGCTAATGATGGTCTTTGAAGAGTTCCACAGAAGAGGAGTGATTAACCCGGGGTTGAATTCCACTTTTATTGCTTTGGTTCCCAAGAAGAAAGAGGCAACACATCCAAGGGATTTTAGACCTATTAGCCTAGTGAACAGTCTATATAAGATCATTGCGAAGGTGTTGTCCATTAGGATTTGACAGGTGCTCAATACCATCATTTCAAATAATCAAGGAGCTTTTGTGAGGGGCAGGCAAATCACTGATCAAATTCTTATAGCAAATGAGAGTGTGGAGGACTTCAAGAGATCTAAGAAGGGGGTGGTCTGTAAGCTAGATTTGGAACAAGCTTATGACTTAGTAGATTGGTCATTTTTTGTTGGAGGTGATGCCTAATTTTGGGTTCAGAGATAGATGGTGCAGATGGGTGTTGGGGCATGTTAGGTCTTGCCACTACTCTATTTTGGTGAACGGAACGGTGCTAGACTTCTTCCCAACATTGAGGGTAATAAGACAAGGAGACCCCCTTTCTCCTTTTTTGTTCACCTTGATTGCTGAAGTTTTAGGGAGTTTAATCTCTAAGGCAGATTTTAGAGGGGTAATTAAGGGATGGAGAGTTGGCAGGGAGAGTATACCACTAACATACTTGTAGTTTGCAGATGATACGATTTTGTTTTGTGAAGGGGGGACATGAATTGGATTAGGAGTTTGAAACTTATAGTACAACTATTTGAGCAAATGTCCAATCTGAAAGTTAATTTTGATAAAAGTTGTGTTGTAGGTGTGAATATGGGGGGAAGTGAGATCCTTGAGTGTGCAAATATTTTGGGGTGTGGAGTATCGAATTGGCCTTTGATTCACCTTGGTCTTTCTCTAGGAGATAATCCTCAAAAAGGAAGTTTTTGGACTCCTGTAGTGGAGAGGTTTGAAAAGAGACTTGCTTCTTGGAAGAATCACTACCTATCTCTTGGGGGAAGAATTACCTTAATCAGGTCTACCCTAGCTAATCTGCCCATCTATTACCTTTCAGTCTTTAAGGTACCTGCAGGGGTGGCTAGCAAGTTGGAAAATTAATGAGGGACTTCTTGTGGGAGCCGAGGGAGGAAAAAAAGGATCATAGGGTTAGATGGGAGATGGTGTGTAGGAATAAGTAGGATGGAGGGCTAGGCCTTGGGAATATTAGGAAGAGGAATTTGGCTTTGCTAGGGAAATGGCTGTGGAGGTTTTCTTTGGAGAGGGAGAAACTATGGATAAAGATAATTTGTAGTATTCACGGGCTTGCAGAGAATTGTTGGGACTCTGGGATTCTGGTTATGGCTACAAGAGCATCACCATGGAAATCCATCCAAGATATTTTGCCTCTCTTCTCTCCTTGGATCAGGTATGATTTACACTCGGGTAATCTCATAAAGTTCTGGGAATATGTTTGGGTTGGGGAGACCCCTTTGAAAGAACAAATTCTGGCTCTATTTGCAATCTCCACCTTAAAAAATGAACCAATTACCAATTTCCTTGTTTTCTCAAACTCAAATTCCGGGTTTGCTTGGAACTTAGGTTTGAGAAGAGCACTCAGGGGCACAGAACTGGATAATGTTTCATCTCTTTTATCCATTCTTGATGGGATTTTCTTGGAGCCCACAAAGACAGATAGTAGGATCTGGTCTTTGTCTCCCTCTGGATCCTTTACTTGTGCATCCTTCTTTAAAGCCCTGATACAACCAGAAATTCCTATTGGATTATCATTCCCTGTCAAGGAAGTGTGGTGTAAACCTATACCTCCAATGGTTGGGAGCTTTTGTTGGGGAGTTTTCCTTGAAAGGATCAACACAGGTGACCTACTTCAAAGAAAAAGACCCAATAGATGTTTATCTCCACACTGGTGTGTTTTATGCAAAGCTGTTGGTGAGTCTGGGTACCACTTACTAATATTTTGTGTTTTGGCAAAAAATATTTGGGATTGGTTTGCTTCTTTATTTGGGTGCAGGTGGATACCTCCAACTAGTCATCAAAGCTTGTTTTCCTCTTCACCTTTTGAATGCTCAACGAAAAGATCAAGAATTATGTGGAGATGCGTGAGAGCTGCTGTTTGTTGGACATTATGGGAGGAAAGAAATGAAAGGTTCTCGGAAAAGGAGGGAGACTTGGAAAATATGGTAGATTTGATTCCTATAAGAGTAATACACTGGCTGAAGACTATGAAGGAGTTTACAGAATTTTCAACAAATGATTTGCTGAAAAAGTGGAAAGAAGTTGCTAGCTCAGTTATAAGGAAGAAGACTTTGATTCTCACGTGGAACTCTCCACCTCTTGGTTTTTTCAAACTAAATTTTGATGGCAGTAGCATGGGGAATCTAGGGCCTTTGGGTAGTGGGGGAATCCTAAGGGATGAGAGAGGTAATGTAATTAGCTTTGTTTTCTCTAGTCCAATTGGAGTGGGAGACTCCTTGAGGACTGAGGTGTTAGCAGTGTTGGAAGGGGTGCAAAGGGCCAAAGAAGTTAAGTTAAGAAACTGATTATAGAAGGAGATTCTGCGGTTGTTGTGGATTGGCTGAAAGAAGACACTTCCAAGATGTGGAGCTACAGCAATGAGAAGAAAATTCAAGTGGTTGATTAAGGATATGGAAGTCCTATGTACTTGGGTTAAAAGAAGTGCTAATTCCTTTGCTGATGGATTGGCTARGCAAGGAGTTTTTAGAAATTCTGGGTTTTGGGCTCAATTGTAGGGTTCTAAGTGTTTAAATCAGATGTATCTCTATTCTGGGGAGTAATGAGTTTTTAGCTCCTCTTCCCTGTAACTTTTCTCCATTAATTAATGAATTCTGTGGTTATTGGTAAAAAAAAAATAATCATAGGTTACAAGTTAAAACATAAGAATTCATGAACAAAAAGTAGGATGAGTTCTACTGTCTGGGCCCCATGGTGATGAGTTTTAAAAGGAAAAATGTCTTTTAAGCTGTCACCTGGATATGGCAGCAAGAACATGGTATTGGATACGAAATTTACACAAAAAATTGAAGTATCTGACATTGATATGGTACCCTTGTATAGGTATACATGTATCAATAATCATAGCTTATAAGTTAATTCATGCAGCTAAAGAATAGAAGATAGAAAAACAAGCACATTCACATGGACAATCTTGCATAGAGGAACTTAGAATGAGGATTTGTAATTTTGTTGATTAGATGCAGTAGGCATTTTTTAATACATCTCCCTGATTTGTATGGTAATTGAATCAGACATATATTTGGCGAGTTGGATGCAAGTGAGTATTGACTTATGACTTCCCTCTAGATGTGGGGTGTCTTCATAAAATTGCATGTAGTCTATCTATCCAAAAAGGGTGATAATCATCATTATCATCACCATGAACCCTGTTCTGTTTAATGCCATATCCATTGTTAAATTATAATCAGTTAAATCATTTCTTACTACTTCGACCAATGCCTTTTTGGTCTACCCCTTGCCTTCTTGCTCCTTCAACTTACAGTAGATAACTTATTCTTCTGGATTTGGATTGTTTCTCATTACTTGGATCATCTGGTCAGCTTTATGATTTTTAGCTGATAGCCCATGCAAGAGGTGGTATATTGATAAAAAAATAATAGTAATAACATATTATGTGCTGGAAGCACATACTTGTCCTTGCATAAAAATTTACAACGCATACCAATTTGACACACTTTCTTCTGCTGTAAATGACTTCTATCCAGGTGCGCAAGATGTTTATGAACTACATAAAGCGATCACGATCAGCTGGCAACCGTACTGAGGCTGCAAGAGAGCTAAAGAAGATGATAGCATTTAACACATTGGTCGTCACTGAGTTAGTTGCAGACATCAAGGGGGAATCCTCCAACACTACAATGCAGGAGCCTGTTAAGGAGGAAGAAAAACAAACCGAGGAAGATGAGTGGGAGTCCCTTCAAACACTTCGGAAAACAAGATCTAGCAAGGAGCTTGTAGAAAAGCTAGAGAAGCCGGGTCAGATAGAGATAACTCTCAAGGATGACCTTCCAGAAAGGGATAGGACTGACCTTTACAGGACATACTTGCTTTACTGCATTACTGGGGAAGTCACTAAAATTCCTTTTGGGGCTCAAATCACCACAAAGAAGGACAACTCAGAATATTTGTTGCTAAACCAGCTTGGTGGGATCCTAGGGTTGACTGGTAAAGAAATTGTGGAAGTCCATAGGAGCTTGGCTGAGCAGGCTTTCAGGCAACAAGCTGAGGTGATTCTAGCAGATGGGCAGCTGACCAAGGCTAGGATTGAGCAGCTTAATGAAGTGCAGAAACAGGTAGGTTTGCCAGCAGAGTATGCACAGAAAGTTATCAAAAGCATAACGACAACAAAGATGGCAGCTGCAATTGAAACTGCTGTCAGTCAAGGAAGGCTCAGTATAAAGCAGATCCGAGAACTGAAAGAAGCAAGTGTAGATTTGGATAGCATGATCTCTGAAAGCTTAAGGGAGAATCTTTTCAAGAAAACTGTAGATGAGATTTTCTCATCAGGCACTGGAGAGTTTGACGAGGAGGAAGTCTATGCGAAGATCCCTTTGGACCTCAACATAAATGCTGACAAGGCAAAGGGAGTTGTTCATGAGCTTGCCAGGACTAGGCTGTCCAACTCATTGATTCAGGCTGTGGCACTGCTAAGGCAGAGGAATCGTGCAGGAGTGGTATAAACTATAAACCTTGAAAACTTGGTTACCCTAGTTTGACTAGTGCACTAAATTCTCTTATTTCAGTCTAGGTTTAATTGCATTTTTTGTTGCAGGTTTCCTCTCTAAATGACATGTTAGCATGTGATAAAGCTGTGCCTTCTGAGCCATTATCATGGGAGGTGCCAGAGGAGCTTGCTGATCTTTTTACCATCTACCTGAACAGTGAACCAGCACCTGAGAAGCTCTCTCGTTTGCAGTATCTTCTTGGAATAAGTGACTCAACAGCTGCTGCTCTGAGAGAGGTGGATGAGAGGGATTTGCCAATTAGGGACGAGGAGGAAGAGTTTATATTTTAGTCCTAGATTTTGGAAAACGAGATTGATGCGTTTCATTCATGCTGTCATACATAATTGATGCGGGTATTTTTCTTTCTGCCCTTGTGATCAGCAAAGGTAGATATCTTGTAGCAACAGGTGAGGAGAGTTAATAATAGTCGGCCGCTGTTTAGGTTATTAGTTCTTGCTTACGCTAAATTCATTTTGAATAAGAGTAAATTTTCTTTTTGCTTGATTATTTTTCCTTTTCTGCAATTACTTTTTTGCCCGTCTATGTATTATGGGGACACTAAAAAACATTTACCAAACAGTTGGGATTAGAAAGAGCTTGAATGTTGGCCTTTTTGTCATATATGCTACTTAGCACGTTTGAAAGTTGCCCAACATTCTTTCTTTTATCTCATGATTAATTCATTGATTTCCTTTGATTGAGGCCCCCTATGGTTGGCAGAGGCCTTCATCAAAAGCTAGTAACCTAGTAACCTATTAAAGCAATAAAATGATCTTTAGTGGGTGTTTTTCTTTGGATTTTGAGAGGGGGAAAGTTGGTCCCATTGATTCTCATCTCTTAGGTGGACTTTATTGGGGGTCGGGGAGACTTTATTTTCTTGATTCTCATCTCTTAGGTGGACGAATAACTTTTTCACTTGGGGGTAAAGTTGTAAACACCTGAATGGGACAAAAATGCCCCTTTTAATAATGGATTTTTATGGCTAAAATGGTCATTAAAATATTTACCTGGGAAATAAAAGAACATGGGCAAATGCACTTAGAATATTTTAGTGGGTTTTGACCATTGTTTTAAGACATCGACGAGGGTAAAAATTGGAATGCTCTATGAGTCCTGCTTTTACTAGCTAACTGGGTGGTTTGTTTGTTCAACTTGCCAAAACCATCATTTAATTGGGACCTAGAAAGGCCATCGGTTCCCGATTTCCACGGTCTGACTATGATTTGGGCCAAGTCTTAAAGCACTGGTTTTGACACTTGAGGGCCTCAATGGATTTTTACAATTCAAGACTCAAATCCAAGTCCCTTAACTGACTTTCTGGTGAGCGATAAATTTATTAAAATGTTCATTCACTAGGGGTGTTCACGTTAAATGTCAAACTGACCAAATTGGCTCGATCCAACCCGAGTTGGTCAGTTTTTGAAAATCACAGGTTAGTTTCGGTTTGTATGAAAAAATAAACCGACAACTCGGTTTGGTTTATGAAAATTGAAACCAAATCGAACTGATCCTATATTTTTAAGTAATTATTAATTAGTCCCTACCCTATCTATTAAATGTTGATATATTTTATTTGTGTTTTGTTTGAACTTTAAAAAAATTGGTTATTTATGGTAAAAATTAAAAATGTAAAACCAATACAAATATAATACAATGGTACAATATTTAATTTAGTTTTGTATAAATTTAAATATATATTGACAAAAAATCAGTTTTGCATAAAAATTAATCGATTTAAATATATATTTTGGTTTTGCATAAAAACTAAAAAGAAATAAACTTAAATATAAATAGATATTTAGGTTTAGATATTGTAATTTAAAATATATAAAAACCGGCTAAATCGATAAACTGATCCAAACCGACCTTTTATGTTTAGGTTGGTTTTGCTTCAGTGTCAGTCGGTTTCGGTTTAGTTAATAAGTAAACCAACTAGGTTGGGTTGGTTGAAAAAAAATGACTCAAACTGACCCAACTTGACCTGTGAAGACTCTTACCATTCATCATTTGATTAACGATACAAGTGGACATAATTAATGTGCATACTGTTGTGTTGTTTCAACCCTGTATTCATTTAATTGTGAGAAAGAAAATGAGAAAGATAAGAACTAGGGTTTTAGAGACTTAATAAAGGAGAACAGTGATATAAAACATGCAAAAAGTAATTTTGAGATTTTCATATGTTTCAAGGTGCATATGATATCATGTGTTTGAATGATTGATAACATTCTAATGGCCGAGTTTGCGTGTAGATTTGTGGAAGTATATACAGGGTACCTATTTGTCTGTCACAAGTTAGTTCAGGCTCTTATGTTACTACCCCCAAAGTACAGGCCTACAGGATACTTCCCTGTAATGTTATCACCTGCTGCAAAGATTAAAATCTCATTCCGAAGTTTTTACTAAGAATTGGCGCGACCGAGCATTGGCACCCTAATTTGCCTAGGTAAGTCTTGCCTCCGGAATCATTTGCCTAGGTAAGGTAAGCGCTTTATCCGGGCCGGTATCAATAAAAAGAAAAAAAAAAAAAAAAGAATGAGGCCTTATTGTCCTATAATTTTCGAATGTAAACTTCCCCTCAGACATCTGTAATTATAGTTCTCTCCTAGTCTACTAGTAGCTCTTTATAAACTGCATTTATAGATTTGACATCAATTCATGATCAGGATTCATCTCACCTATACGGTGGAACTAAGATTTCTAAGGGCACATGGACTAAACAGTAAAAACTCCAAAAATGAATGAGGCCTTGTTGTCTTACAATTTTCAAATGTAAACTATAACCAACTTCTACAGGTAAGGTCACCTGGGATTGAATCCCACCCCACCGAGTTGGGGGAGCATAGGGGTTTGGACGAGTTGTGTAAATCCATTAGCAGAAAAAAAAAGTATAAAATGAAACTACTGCTCAGTTTGAAAGGAGTACAAATGCAAATATATAGTGTAAAACCTTGAATTTTGTATTATTTTTATATGTATTTGTACTCTTTCTAAACTGAGCCTATATATCTGAAAAATGAATTTTAACCAATATATCAGAAGTTTATTTAGATAAGAACAACAGCGAATGAAATAGATGAAAGGATTAATTTAAGGATGTATGACATAACAATATCAATCCCTTTAAATGTCCATCGCGAGATAGACCATGTATACACTTCAATCTTGAACCCGAAAAACCAACATTGTTTTTCAAATAGGTCTATTAATTTATTCTTCATAATATGCATGCTCTCAACGATTCATGGAATTCACAACTTTTTCTTAATTTGAAGCACTGCCAAACAAGAAGATGGGTTCGATCAATTCCAGAAAATTCTGATAAATACTGGAAAGTGTTGATCAAACTGAAAGAATTGGAATTACATTAGCATATATAGCCATGCAAAATATACATCAGCCACGTAAGGTGCAAAGATAGGGTTTGGGTGATCATAGAATTGATTCCCAAATTCCCCATCATCTCGTAATTTTCTTCTCTATTGCTACAATCTCATAGACAATAAATAAACAAGCTTCCTATATTAGTGATTAAATAATAAGGAGCCAAAGTCCATATATTTCAGATCATGGTTTTGAGAAACGGACTGGAGTGGACGATCAGATTGGTTTACCTGGGAACCTATCATGGATACAGGTCCGATTTTGGACCCCAAAACCATCTGACTGTTTTTTAGATCGGATGGTCGAACTGTTTGACGCAGGAACCGATGGCCACCGTTCCTGGTCTGGTTTTTAAAACCATGTTCCAGATGGTAAGAAAGACTTGTTTCATTGAGATTGTTATTTGAAGGTGTAATTAAATAGATTCATATCTTCAATGCTTTATCCTTTTAATTGATTGTTTTAATTAACTTGAAGGCAGTTTCTTTGATTGAATACCAGGCAACATTCACAAATTCGTGTTTGAACATAGCTCGATAATCAAACAAACTTCTGATATTTGAGATGTATGCAAGAGCCGAACCCATCAGCTTTTCTGAAGCTATGAAAAGTGAGAAATGGAGAGAAGCTATGAGGAAGGAAATCCAATCTCTGGAGGACAATGGTATTTGGACATTGGAAACTTTACCTCCTGGGAAAAAGGCAATAGGGAGTAAATGGGTTTATAAGATCAAATATAATCCAGATGAGACGATTGAACGGCATAAGGCACGCTTAGTTATTCTCGGGAATAGACAGGTTGAGGGGTTTGATTACAATGAGACTTTCGCTCCTGTGGCCAAAATGACGACAATCCACACTTTCTTGGCCGTGGCAACCGCTAAGAATTGGGAGTTGCATCAGATGGTTGTACATAATACATTCTTACATGGGGATTTGGATGAGGAGGTATACATGCAGTTGTCGCCAAGTTTCGCATCTAAGGATCGAACAAAAGTGTGCAAATTGAAGAAATCTCTCTATGGATTACGTTAAGCTCCCAGATGTTGGTTCTCGAAATTAACATCGGCCTTAATATAGCTTGGGTTTGTTCAATCATATCCTGACTACTCTTTGTTCACTTATTGCAAACACAATGTTCGTCTGCACATGCTGATAAATGTTGATGATTTGATTGTTGGGGGAAATGATACTATAGCCATTATGAAATTCAAAGAGTATCTCAGTCGATGCTTCCATATGAAAGATCTGGGTCCACCCAAATATTTTCTACGTATTGAAGTAGTTCGTGGTCCTGAGGGAATATTTTTATCTCAACGGAAGTATACCTTGGACATTATCTCGGAATGTGGACTATTGGGAGCCAAACCAACGTCTGTGTCCATTGAACAAAATCATCATTTTGCGCTGGTCAAGGGCGCTCTAATGGACAATCCGAATCAGTATCGAAGACTAGTAGGACGGTTGATATACTTAACCATCACACGACCTGAGCTGTGTTATTGTGTTCATATCCTGGCCCAGTTCATACAGAGTCCACGGCAAGAACATTGGGAGACAGCTCTGCGTGTAGTGCGATATATGAAAGGATATCCTAGAAAAAGGTATATTGTTGCGTTCTGATAGCGATCTACGTTTGTATGCTTATTGCGACTTTGATTGGGCAAGTTGCCTGTTAGCGCGACGTTTGTTGATTGGGTATTTTGTCCTGCTGGGACAGTCACCGGTTTCTCGGAAATCGAAAAAACAACACACTGTCACGCTCCTCTACAGAAGAAAAATATCGTTCGATGGCTACGACAAGCTGTGCGTTGAAGTGGATGAAGAAACTACTATTGTCCTTGGGAGTGGCGCATAACGAACCTGCACAATTGTATTGTGATAATCAGGCAACTCTACATATAGCCGCAAATCCAGTGTTTCACAAGAGAATGAAGTATATTGAAGTCGACTGTCATTTTTCTTGGGATGAGATACGGCATGGGAACATTGTTACTCGCATATTTCCTTAGCAAATTGGGCATTCGAAATCTTCATGCTCCGATTTGAGGGGGAGTATTGGGAAGCGTGGTTTTAGGAATGTATTTAGGAGTTCTCTTGCCGTAATTAGGAGGTCTCTAAATTTATTTGGTCTGGCCAGCGGTAATTTCCCACTACAACTACAACTGAATCTCCTATTGTATATATACACGCAACAGAATTCTCCACAAAGATTTTCACAAATTCAAAGCAACAAATACCCAAGATATGAGTTCTTGGTCAAGAGTACTCTGTTTTCAACGTTGTTTTGATAATTCCCCCTGAAAACAGAATAGACTTTAGAGAAGAAAGAAGTTCAACTTACCTTCTCTTGAAGAAAGAGAGACAGTTTACACCTGCAAAGTGTCAAAGATAGAGATAGATTAGTGGGAAATGTCTTCTAAAATGTAAAATCTCAGAGCAGAATGTTACCCTCCAACATTTGCAAGAAAAGGGGAGAAGCCATCTGAGCATGTAATTAAAATTGTACTCGCAAATGAAGGTCAAAATCTGACTATAACATAAAGAGGAGAAGCCATCTTTCTGAAAATCTAATAACAGAACCGAATAAGCCTTATTTCTTTAACGCAAGAAAAGATGATTATAGTTTAATGGAGTGATATTGGACATTGTAAGAGTATACTTCTGGTTTCATGGAATCTACATTGCAAGAGCCAAATGATATGGCGGGCTAAATAAAAGGGAAAAAAAATGAGGAGATCAGTGGGTCAGGTTAAGTAATAACCTTATCTTGATCTGACCCTATCTGGTCAGGATTGGGTCAGCCTTAATTGGTTTTGGGTTGGAGTCCATAAACTTTGGACCTATGCATAGCTGAGTTCAATTCGAATTCACAAATTTAAAACAGGTCCAACAACATTGCACTAATGAATATTGGACACATTAAATCAAGATTTCAATCAATTACATTAAAAATATTATATATTCTACTCCATTTTTCATTTGTTCATGTTTTAGAATCTCTATTTTCACATTTTACAAAATGTATTTATCATTAAGATTTTGATAGTGTTAAAGATGTCAACGATGTATGGGGAAGTTTTTAAGCCAATGCCAGCTAGACTTACCTGTTATGTTCTTCTATTTCTTCTGACGTACACGTAAAACCCAAATTATTATGTGTTGGATTTTGTGGCGATCATCCTCTCCTCGGCACCTGTCTATGAATGATTTTGGCATATCATCAATATTCAGTATTGTTAATCCTTCTGGAACCATCCTCAATTTATAAAAACCTTGAATATGTAAACTCCCAAGTGTTGGCATCACAATGAGAAAGCCGTTGTATTGCAAGACTCGGAAACATGCCTCCCTTAGGCAATAAATTCAAACTCAAGCACCGAAGACAGTTGAATTTGCAGATGGATTGGATTACTGCATCCACTTGTGATCCCTGGATAACTTTCGCAGATTAGTTAATAAGTTGGTTGAATCTTGTTTCAACCAACTATCAGCCATGATATATATACTTCAAGGTTTGGAGTCGTAAGTGGTTGCCAGAAGCGATGAATAATAAATGTCTTAGGTTTTCCATCATCCATAGCACGTCGGGTATTTTAGCTTTCCCTATAGATGATGATGGAAGCTCTTTTATTTTATTTCAGTGCGAACTAATCCCAAATACTTCAAGTGAATTAGCTTTACTATTTCTGAAGGTAGAGTTTTGAAAGCACCAACACCGAAAAGATATATCTAGCACTCTAAGAAACTTGTAGTCCTTGAATAAAAATTTCAGTTTTGTGTCCTCCAGACTTGTTTTATTGGGAACGGACGTTTGGAGTTGTTGAAGCATGCACTTGTATCGAGGAAGAAACGTACATACCTGTCATGTTTGGATTTTGGAATGAATAGCATGTCTACGCGAGCTATGAGCGTAAACATCTTCATCAGGATAGATACCCAAAATGATAAGAGGGTATGTGTTGGATTCTGTGGTGGTGATCCTCTCCTCGGCACTTATCCATGAATGATTTTGGCAGTTGATAGATATCCAGTACTTGGAGGGTGGTGACGGCTGCTAATCCTTCTGGAACCATCTTCAATTTATACACCTATCAACCAGTTCCTGGAGCTGGAGCCACCTCGGCCACCTCTTTGCAATGTCCTTGTAAAACCATAGCTTTTCTAGTTTGTTTTTTTTTGTCTATTATTCATTGAAAAATCAAATAACTAGAACTACTAAGTTTACAGGGACTCAATCTTTTCTATTCTATTTTAACAATTCATGATAAGGAAAGAAGGAAAGAAGATATACACAAAGAGGATATATACATGAACAGACTCCTAATCCCAACACCCCCCTCACGTTGGAGTATGTAGATTGTGAATGCCCAACTTGCGGAGAAAGTATTCAAATTCTCTGTGACCCAATGCCTTTGTAAAAATGTCAGCCAGCTGAATGGTAGTCGACACGTAAGCATGACGAATGCAACCATTTTGAATCTCATCACGCACAAAATGGCAATCAACTTCAATTTGTTTCATACGCTCATGAAACACTGGGTTTGCCGCAATATGCAAGGCTGCCTGACTATCACAATATAATCGCATTGAGTTTGAATGTGTAACTCCAAGAGCCAATAACAATCCCTTTAGCCATTTTAACACACGTGGCCGTGGCCATAGAACGATACTCAGCTTCCGCTGAAGAACGAGCCATAGTGTGTTGTTTCTTAGTTTTCCAAGAGATCGGCGATTTTCCAAGGAGAATAAACCATCCAGACAGAGAACGTCGGGACAAAGGACAGCTCGCCCAGTCTGAATCACACCATGCATATAATTGCAAGTCACAATCTGACCGCAAGAGAATTCCTTGACCAGAATTTCCTTTCAAGTAGCGCACCACTCGCAATGCAGCCTCCCAATGTCTTTCTTGCGGTTGCTGCATAAATTGAGATAGAACATGCACGCAATAAGACAACTCAGGACGAGTTGCTGAGAGATAAATAAGCCTGCCCACCAAGCGCCTGTATCTTTCATGATCAGATAAGAGAGGCCCATCTGTCAAGGCGAGATTGTGATTCTGCTCAATAGGAAAAGGAACAGGTTTTGTACCAAGTAATCCAACTTTAGAGATAATATCCAAAGCATACTTTCGTTGAGACAGAAAAATTCCTGTTGAGTTTCGGGCAACTTCAATGCCCAAAAAATATTTCAATGGTCCCAAGTCTTTCATATGGAAGCAGTCACTCAAATATTTCTTGAAGACTTGAATTGCCATACGATCATTACCTAACACGATAATGTCATCCACATACACGAGAACAAGCACATGCACCCTGTCTCGACGAAAGGTGAATAGGGAGTAATATGAAACTGATTGTTGAAACCCATATGTCTTCAAGGCTGTGGTTAATTTAGCAAACTAACATCTCGGCGCTTGTTTCAGGCCATACAGAGATTTTCGCAACCGACACACCATACCTGGTTTATCTGACTGAAAATCAGGAGGCATTCGCATGTAGACTTCCTCATGAAGGTCACCATGCAAGAATGCGTTATGTACGTCCATTTGATGAACCTCCCAATTTCTAGCTGCTGCGACTGCAAGAAAGGTACGAACAATAACCATTTTTGCAACTGTGGCAAAAGTTTCATTATAATCAATTCCCTCAACCTGCTTGTTTCCAAAAATCACGAGATGGGCTTTGTATCTTTCCACTGTCTCATCAGCGTTGTACTTGATTCGATACACCCATTTGCATCCTATGGCTCATTTTCCGGATGGCAAAGGCTCTACGGTCCATGTCTGATTATTCTCAAGTGTCTGTATTTCTTTCTGCATTGCATCCCTCCATTTTTCATCCTTTACGACCTCAACAAAAGAAGTAGGTTCAATTCCTGTAGTAATAGCTGCCAAGAAAGCACGATGTCGACAAGAAAAACTGTTACAATTCACATAGTTATCTATGGGATAAGGACTACCTGCAGGATGTGATTGGCCGAGTGAGCTTGCAAAGGGACGCGGAGAGGGACTCAAGCGCTGTGTGGTGTGAAGCACATAATCTCTCAACCTTGTGGACTGCTGTTTCTGTCGATGCCCACGCCCCAAATGAAATTCAGAGTGCTGTTGTTGCTCAACATGCTGCTGTTGCTCAATATCACCCCCCCTGACATCAGAACTGTCTTCGGTTGCATTCTCTGTGGCGGCATCACAAGAATGCATGGGTTCACTAGCATTTGCATTTAGGTCTACGTGGGTTCCTTCTTCTACACGGACTCCTTCTTCAGCGAGTTTACCTTGTTGGGTAGTCTCCATCTCGCCATTTGTTGGTCCAGGTAAACAAGTGGATGGTACCAACACCTCATTTGTCCCACCTATTCCATAATTAAAATGACCTTGTGCTTTGTTCGGCTGTGCATCCTCCTTGTGTGCATACAAGAATTCATGCTCTAAAAAAGTAACATCTCTTGATGCAAAGAACTTGCCGGACTCTAAGTCATACAAGCTCCATCCTTTCTTTCCAAAATGATACCCAACAAAAACACACCGTCTGCTCCGACTGACAAATTTATCCCCTCCATGTCCATGATTGTGTGCATATGCTAAGCAACCAAAAACTCACACATTATCATAAGAAGTAGGTCGCCCAAATAGCATTTTATAGGGAGTCTTTCCCTTCAACAGAATGGATGGTGTCCGATTGATCAAATAACATGCGGTCAAGACACATTCCCCCCAAAAATCAATAGGCAAGCTAGCTTGAAAGCGCAAGGCTCGGGAAATATTGAGTATGTGGCGGTGCTTACGTTCAACCCTCCCGTTTTGTTGAGAGGTCCCGACACAAGTGGTTTGATGAATAATACCACTTTCAGCAAAATAACCACCCAAGCAGACAAACTCAGTCCCATTATCAGTACGGATCACCTTTACAGGTTTGTTAAATTGCCTTTGAACCATAGCAAAAAAATTTCAAAGAACTCGTCCCACTTCCGTCTTATCAACCAGAAGATAGATCCAAACTCCTCTAGAAAAATCGTCTATTATGGTCAAGAAATAATGAGCACCACAAGAGGCTGCAGTTCTATATGGGCCCCATAAATCACAATGAATTAACTCAAAAATATCGGATGCTTTATTATTACTAGAAACAAATTCTTCTCGACATTGTTTAGCTCGGAAGCATGCATCACAACCCTTAATACTGTCATCATTATTATTCTTAGTGCTAATAAAAGGTAGCAACTTAACAATTCTATAAGAAGGATGCCTTAACCTTTGATGCTAAATATCCCACGTTCTGCTCTCTGTAGTCTTCATTGCTCTTGTTGATGTAATGCTCCGGAAATAATAGAGTCCCTCTCGCTGCTCACCTGCTCTAATCAGCATCCTCATAGTGCAGTCCTGTATCACACAGAATTTATTAGTGAACTAGACAATACAATTCGATTCCTCAATCAATTGCGATACAGAAAGTAAATTGCAATTCAAACTAGGCACATATAAAACACTAGTCAGTTTCAAATGATCGTCCAGTGCAACTGTGCCTTCTTTCTCAGCTATTGTCGCTTTCCCGTCTGGTAGCCCGACAAAGCACGGAATGACATTCTTTATGTCTCTCATTAACTCGAGGCTTCCTGTCATATGATGAGAGGCCCCTGTGTCTATTATCCATTCTGACAATTTTTGCTTACCACTTAGTTGTTGACTCCCTTCTTTCTGTGTGTTCAGAAGGTTGAGTAATTTGTTCCACTTTCTCACTACTTAGTCCATTTAACCTAGTCTTGGTTGCATCAATTGATTCTCCTTGAGACGCATTGCCTTGCGTAGAGGCTTTGGCTGCATTGGCCTTGACTTAGCTGCCACGTCCTTTTCCGCCTGCCCCTGCTCCTTGTTTCTGTCCACCACTGCTCTGTTCTTTTTCTCTGTTTTCGGCCATCGGTGGGCTGATGTCGTACTTCACAAGTCGAACTCGCGAGTCAGTCCTTATAAAAGCTGCCCATCGGATTTGGGATTGCAGTGACCGAACTCGCGAGTCATCCACAACCACACCAGGAGCCTTACCAAAGTGCTTAACTGCTTCACGAGCATTCTTAGGACCCCTAAGGAGAATCGTGTTATGACCAAGAGGAGCCCTTAGAGCCAGCTGATCAAACGTCAAGCATTCTCCTCCCACCTTCAAAATCCTTGCTCTTGTTGTCTCTGTAAACCTCAGAGCCGTCACCTTCAAAGCCGGTACCTCATAAACCTGAGTGTCGTCGGTGACCGTTCCAACAATCACCACGATCTTATCCTCCTTTCCCTTCATGAAGCTAATCAATATGGAAAGGGACATAGGAGCCTTGTTGACCCTGCTCATGAACAACCTCTTCAGTATCACCGCATTGAAGTTGCTTCCTGTCCTCCTTATGAGAAACCGATATAGCTTGAGGTAAATATCCTTAGATTTTGGGGCTGTTCGCTTGGTCTTCTTGCTTTTGCCTCCTGCGCTGCTGTTGCTTCTCCTCTTCTTCTTAGCCACCGCTGGTAAGAGATCGCTGCCGCTGGAACGAAAGACGATCGCTGGTAATGGATCGCCCCGCTGGAACGATTCCCGCCTCTCAGTGTTCGCTAAAGGGGAGAAACCGCCGCTTCCGCCGCTAGTTGCAGTCTTGGTGGGACGAATGCGAAGATTGAACTCTATGAAAGACGGTGTCTCGAACGGAATCTGGAGTGCAGAGTCTCTCCTTTCCCGGCACCGAATAACGTCGCTGCCGCCACTGATCTCCAGAGGTCTTGGAACACAGACCTCTCGTTTCCGTTTTGTGGCTCTGATACCATGTAAAACCAGAGCTTTTCTGGTTTGTTTTTCTTGTCTATTATTCATTGAAAAATCAAATATATATACATGAATGCACAGCCACACAGCCACCGAACTCCTAAGCTTATGGCAACTAGAACTCCTAAGCTTACAGGGACTCAATCTTTCCTATCCTATCTGAACAATTCATGATAAGGGAAGAAGGAAAGAAGATATACACAAAGAGGATAGATACATGAACAAACTCTTAATCCTAACAGTCCTCCATTATTTCAGTACCGTCTTGCCCCCTTGGTGACTGCAAGAAACCCTCAGAAACCCACAACTTGATTAACTAACTTTCTTTTAGGGATCGAGTAATCCTCTGGTAAAAGTCCAAAATAAAGAAAACAAGGCTTCAGATCTTGATAACTCAAAGCTAATATCCCCATCACTTGCATGTATTGATGATGATCATTTTCAGTTTTCAGAGATTAAGATGGAATTATTTCTTCCAAGCAAGCCCTCCCATTCCCTCATGGACCGTTCTTTCGTTGCTAATAGCGCTCCTAGTACAATAATGGCTGAAGGAAGTCCATCACATTTTCCCACCAACTCCCTTCCTATACTCTCCAAATTTGGATAAGGGCAACAACAATTGTTGATTGCCACTGCTGAGTTTTCTAGAGAGAAGGCTTTCTTACAAAATAGCTTCCAACTTTCTTCTTCATTCAAAAATCGAGGCTCTTGAGGGATGGATCAAGTATCAGCATACTGACCAACTCCCTTGTTGCGTGTGGTGAGAATGATCTTACTTCCCTTCTCTTGGTCTGGAAATGCAGGTTTAAGACGATCCCAGTAATCAGTTTTCCACGCATCATCAACAACAATCAGATACCTCTTCCCTTTCAATATTTTGAAGAGCTTCTTTACCAACTCTTCCTCTTTCTTACCTCTCATCCTCTCTTTCTCCTCATCAGATGGTTGAGTAACATTTTCTATAATTTCCTGTAGAACATCTCTAATGATACACTGTTGAGATAGAAAAGCCCAAGCACGAAACTGAAAGTGATTCCCAACCTCAGCATGTTTATAGAGTTGTTTGGCCAGAGTAGCCTTACCTAGACCACCCATGCCAACAACAGAAACCACATGGAGCTGCCGCTCCTCCTTGTGAACTAACCGACCGAGCAATATCTTCATGTCTTCCTCAAATCCAACTACATCCTTTTCCACAACATGTGAACAAGTCCGTCTCAGTAATCGTAACTGCATGTCATTCGAAGAGCTCGTCCTTTATCCTGCTTATGCCATAACCCACTCGACTCTCAGAGTTCCTCCTGATCTTCCTGTTGACATTTTCAATTTGATTTCCGAGTCTGTGGATATCCATGCCCTCTTTCACGATGCAAGAGAACCTTTTTATCCTTTTTTCCCTTGTTCTCGTTTTGCTTTTTGGTAGATGTATGCGCGCGTCGATGACGTCTTCTGCTTCATGACAAACATCTCTGATTTCTGTAACCCAGCTGTTGTGGACTCGTTCATCTTGTTCTTGTTTTGTCTCCGCATCTTTTAAGAAGCATCGCATCCGCTGCAGTTCAATTTGTAGCCCTCCAACCTGACTTCTCACTTCAGAAAAGAAATTTGCTTCTTGGATAAGCAATTCACCGAGCCTTGTTACAGTGGAAACAGGAGCCTCAGCCATCAGCTGCTTTCTCTATTCTCTTTCCCAAGTCCTCAC